GGAAAATAATACAACAAGAAGGCTGTGACATGTATCTCCATTGCCAATACTTAATAAGTGTAATCATTATATGATAACAGTCAATAAGAATACTGATGCAACTATCTATATTGTATCAGTACAATCGGACTATTGCATCAGTGCAATCACTCACTTTATAATCTGTGCTCATGATTGCCTTCTTCGATTTTGCAATTTTCTATGGATGACCCTCTATAGGATTTTTCCTGACAGACCACACTTTATGGAACGCAAGAATTGAATGTCATTTGGTCTGGTTTACTCCAATTTTTAGAAAGCTATTGTGAAAAGTAGGTGTGAGAAATGTGGGAATCAATTGTGAGAACTTATAATGTGCCAATTTCTGCAAAAAAAAAAAAAACAGTAAGGTGTTTGGCAAAACTGTGACAAGCTTGTTGAAAAAAACAGTGAAAAGCTGTGAAGTGGCTGAAAACACTAAATAAACATACTATCCATGTGATTCATAAAAGCACTGGAGTGACTGGAATATTGAAAAGGAGGAAGGCCAATTTTGTGAAGTACATCTCAGGAGCTGCAGTTGAGTTTAAAAAGTACCCATATCCAGTTATTAGAACACCCAGCTTTAAAGTTAAGCTGCTTATAAATATTGACTACTTTCACCAGAGTTATGAAAAAGCTGAAGTTGGCAAAAAGAAAGAAAGAAAGAGACAGTCAAAATATGCATGATTGCTTACAGTAGAATAAGCTCAAAGGAATCAGGCTTCCAATTCTAGAATTAAACTTGATTAGTTAGAAAAGTAACATCAGGAATGGAGTATCTTAGAGTACAGCAGGTGTTGGAGCATGCTGCTCAATGATAGACACGAACCTCGTAAATAATGACAGAGGAATTGTACAGCAGGTGTCATTATCCTTCACTTGTTTTCACGTTAAATTTGGACCACCACTCCCCACCGTTAAACACAAATACATCATATTCTCTCTCAATGTTTCAGCAAGTGCCGGAAATTTTATGTGTTCTTTTTGGCACTTTAGCATTTTAAAGTGAGCAGCAGTCATATATAGGTGCAAGATTTACAGTTCTAACGGAAAAGAGAGAGGTTGAGGGGGGTTATCGAGAAAGGAAAGAGTTAGTTTGAAGTTTTACAATCCTATCCTCAGTGTCATCTAAAGTGGATTTAGATACCGAGTTATGACCCGATCTAGTCTCTTCACTAGTAAGTATGCTTTAGCAGTTTGCTTCCCCATTTCTAGTGCCGTGCAGCCCCGTAAAGATGGTTCAAGCTCGCTTAGGCGCCCGTGCGCACCCAAGCCTAAATTGATATGTCTCTGTACTTTATACAACTTGGCGAGCACAATACCACTTTTTAACAAAATTGATCTTAACAAAACTGCAGCAAAAATTCATAAATACGAGTTATGCGACAGCAGTGACCCATTCACACCATCTTACTGTCACGCCCTGAAACTGCAGCGGAAATTCATAAATATGAGTTACGCGATAGCAGAGACCCATGCACAAGACAAGTCCCGTGCACGAGTCAAGATCAATCAATTAAAGTATTCATGCAATTTCATATTATAAAATATTAGTGAGAAATGAACAAACCTCTAGTTGTCACGACTTTCTCAAAATATTATTCCCCTGGATATCAACCAGATCCTATAATATAAAGATATACAACTAATATTAATTCAAGACAAACATATATTATAGATTAATCACTTCATAATCTAGAGCCAAACAGATTCAAATATAAGCAATAATAGTTAAAATCTATATATAGGGTACACATGAGCTTTTTGCTAATTTTAGCAATTTAACAAAATTTTATGACTCTCCTTTATTAACTTTTTAGATCTCTTAGCAAATTTCGACAAGGTAGGGGGCTATAGAGAATTAATCAATCCCAAAAGTCATCTTTTATTCTTCAGATTGGACTTATTTGCAAACAGAGTAAATAACAGGGGTCTAAGATTAAATATCTTTGCATATTTATGGTTTAAACTCTATGTTCGGGCCTGTTGACAAATTAACAGGGCAAAAGGGTCTAAACAAAATTTTCAATTCTTTTATTGTCTTGACTTATATACAAACTCATTAACTTTCAGGGTCTCAAAAAAATTTTGTTATTTTATTTTAGTTTTCTCTTTCTCTTTACTCTATTTCTTCTTCTTCCTCCGATTCCCTTTTTCCTTCTTCTATTTCTTTTTTCTTCGCTAGACTATCTGAGGGTTTGTCGGCGGTCTCTCATCTCTCTTGTCGTGCAGTAGGACGACGACATGAACCAATGGCGACTAGGGATGGTCGGCAGCGAGACCTTCGCCGAATCTAGGTTTGTAAATTTTTTCACAGTTATTCAATAATACGAAAAATCAATTCACAGACCATTTCCATAACATAATTTAGGCCTCAATTCCTTTAATTTCCCTTTGATTTCCCAAGATAGCTTACCACTGCTCTATTGCATGAATTCAACCAAGTAAAATATAGGAGAAGATTGTACCTTGCTATGAGTTGTTTGTTGAGGGCTTAGCTACTCTCCTTCTTCCCTTCCTTTTTTCTAATCATATTTAGAAATTATTGGCCAACAAGATTAGAACTGGGTTTCTCTGATATTATGTCAAAGGACCCTACCACTACACCAAAACTTTAAAAGTTACAGAGATAATTGATGGTTTTAATTTTACTCTTAAAATACCATCACTCACTAATCAGTGATGTCCAACATCTTAGAATGTTATATAGATTAATATGCCTACAAATTGGTCACTACTTTGACACTTTATTTACTATTACATGTCAGATCGACAGTTATCTGAAAGTAGTACTATATTTTTAGCATCATAGCATTATTCTTTAGGAAAAATATGAAAAATTCAACCTTAACTCATGTCTATGAGTGCAAGTTAATAATATCTTTTTTGAAAATGATATATCAACATAGATGATGGTTTCACAGCCAAATGAATCATGTTTGTCTCAGTTCCCATTTTCATGCCAAAATTTAAGGAAAAACCTATTGACATGGCACTTCATAACTTCTCCACCTTTATCACAAATCCAAGGGCACAATATTTGGAAATGAAACATGCATGATCTCAAGTTTTTCCCCCCACAAAAAACACATCTTGAAGATACCGGATACTTGGAATTCATGGTTGATAAATCATGTTTGGCTCGATAAAATTCAATAATGATTTGAAATGTTGGGAGTTATCTAGCAACGTCTTGAAAATGAGGCAATCTTAAAGAACTCTTCAGAGATAGGTCATCATATAGATATCTACATAGTGCTTGGCCAAAACCAAGGTAATAACCTTATCTTTTTCTTAGTACATGATTAGTATGGTGTTGGAGGAGTGATGAAGGACATCTTTGGGTATTTTTTGACAAACAACAAGAAAAGAAAGAAACAAAATGGTAAAATTAAATTATTCCATCTAGAACTCATATTTAGATTCATAAAGGACTTCATCTAAGAACATTTCAGTGTGTAATTTAACAATGTTTAAAAAAGCGGAAGCGCAAAGCGAAGCGCTAGACCCTTTGATGAAGCAACACGTCAGCTTCAAAGCGTGAGACATAAGCTACATGAATTTAAGCATTTTAATTTTAAATTTGTAGAAATTATGAACATATAATATATAATGGTATTATAATTTACAAATGTATGCATTCATATCCTAAATAGTAAATAAGAATTAAATATGTGAAGTATAGAAACGAATCATAACAAACTAAGCTATATATATATATATATATATATATATATATATTATGGGTATGCTTGGTACTAAGCACAAATTTTGTGCTTGGTAGTGAGATGGGTATGCTTGGTACTAAGCACAAGTTTTTGTGCGTGGTAATGAGGTGGCATATTCTCCTCCACTCATTGAAATCGGGGGTCAAATTCACATGGGTTGGGAGAGTGGTTGGGAATTGGAATGAGTAGATGGGAATAGGACACCTCACTAGCAAGCACAAAATTCAGTGTGATTAACAGCTAGTTCTTCAAGAGTTAATCAAATCCTTCTAGATACACTCTTAGAAACACATTCTGTTATTTTCTACGGAATTTTACACAATTTTGGTCAAAAATAAAAAAAAAACAACAAGATTAAGTGTTTGCTCGTAATGCATTCAGGCTGACCTGTATTTGTAGACCATCCCATCCTCAGAAATTGGAAGTCTCTTGAAGGAACCAGTTCATTGCTGAAGAAAGACTTGGCAAATAATATACCATAAGCCCCAGTTCCAGCAAGACATCATCCTTCACAGAATCTGGAAGAAACACCTATCAGATAGTTTACAGTCCACTAAAATTAATCTTAAATAAAAAATCATACCGAAAAATGTTCGAAATTAAGATTCAACATAATATACTGAATAGCCAATTTACCCAAAACATTTCCGTGACTCGCCTTGCAAAGACATAATATACTGAATATATAGCTCAGTGACTCCTAACTGGTGCATGCTAAATGTGGGTTTGTCATACAATAATAGCTGCTAAGGAAATGATCATGCAGGGAACTACGAATCAGAAAAAGATTATCTTTACTAAATCTCATTAAAAGATTCAACCTTCATTTTAGGAGTTTAAACTTCCAACAGCATATATACCTTCAGAAAATGTGCAATTTTCTTCTCAGAGTATGAGCAACAAGCAACTGATTCATAGCTCGCACATCAGCCAGTAGAAAGACAATAACACAAGTTCATGCCCAATTCTGCAACATTTCAGCTAAACGTCTGCTTATATTCAATCCCTTTCAATGTAATCCAAGATGGAAACTAACCACAGTGACCTTATTTGCCTACTCCTGAAACACCCTCTTCGAGTACCCACTGATAACTATGGTTTAAGGAACGACATTTCTTTCACCCATTTCATCAAACACATTCAGTGCACAACCCAATTCACAAAATTTACATCACAAACGCATCAACACGTTCTATTGATTTGCAAATAACTGAGCGGACCTGATCCGGCAACGGTTTTGTGACTGCTCGCAGGCTTTGAAAGTGAAAGGCAAAGGTCGTGCAGTTCATTTGGGGCCCAAGTGAAGGCAATTGGACCTGGGCTTGGGCTGGGCTACGTTAAGTTATGGTGGAGGGGAAGAGAGATTATGTGGAGACTAATAAAAGGATTTCTTCTTCTTTCTTATTTCAATTTCTTTTTTTTTTTCGAGGGAGGTTTTTTTTTGGGGGGGTGGGGTGGGGTGGGGTGGGGGGTTCCTGCTGGAAGATTTAATATATGCCATAATATTGGGTTAGATTTATACTTTATACAACCATTTTCTCTATTTAACCGTATAGTTTTAGCTAGATTGCACTTTAGCATATTCTATCATGCAAATATGAGAATTTTACGTCAAAGCTTCTTTTGTGACACTTACTAAGTAATTTTAGAACGTTTTAATCATTAAAGTCTGTTGAATTTGTTGATCAACCTACTTTTTCACTCACTGTAGCCACTTTTTCACTTTTTATTAGCGAAATCGACTGTAGCAAGTTTTATTTCATGAAATCGACCCGGTTTCTCGCCACGTCAGCGCCGTGGCGAGAAAGCGGGTCGATTAATTTTTAATCGGCTTCGTAAACAGTCGGGGTTGCCAATCCCGACTGTTTAGTCCATCTCGTTTTATTTA